CCCTCTCCTCTCCTCTCCTCTCCTCTCCTCTCCTCTCCTCTCCTCTCCTCTCCTCTCCTCTCCTCTCCTGTGATAGTTTCTCACGCAGCAACGAGAGAAGGATTGGAGCCAAACTGCAAGAGAGACAAGTGGCAAGTATAAAGTCAAGATCTAGAGCAATGCTGCACGAACACAGCAACCAGCAACCCCGTCAAGTCATACCTTACATCCTCTACCCTCTGCCCCATCTGCCTGTCAAGCAGCTCTGATTTAACTCCTCCTGTTCTCTAGATGGCGAGAGTGATACATTATTTATTGATGACAGTGAGAGAAAAAGTATAAAGGAGAAGGAGTTTTCGAAGTGAAGAGAGATGCTCTAATGTACAGCAAGGACGAGATTGTCAGAGAGCGAGGGGTGTACAGAGGAAGACAGGAGGAGGAGAAGGAAGTAGGGAGAGGAAGGGGAGCTCAGAGGAGAAGGGAATGTTGCGGAAAGAAGGAAGAAAGAGACGGAGACAAGTAGGACGAGGATGGTCAGCATGTAACGATGCAAGGAAGGAGATTTGCGTGCGGAGGAGAGAGACGAAGGTCGATGAAGTAGCCTGCATCTGAAATGTCAGACAAACCTGACACAATGTGTGATAGAGGAAGGGCAGGAGAGGTTTGATTGTGCAAGGGAAGGAAGAGGAGGGGGGAAAAACAGGAATAGGAAGAATTACAAGAAACCCAAAGGGGAGGGGAGTGAAATGTATGTAAAAGGAAGATGAAAGCGAGGATGGAAACGGTGGCTAACGAGCAGGTGGTGGTGGAGGAGGAGGAGAATGAGGGAGGAGGAGCTGAAAAAGGAAGAGGAGGATGACAGAAGGGACGAGCAGCTGCCAAAGCAATAGGAGGAGGGGGAGGAGGGGGGAGGAGGGGGGAGGAGGGGGGAGGAGGGGGAGGAGCAGCAGCAGCAGGAGCAGGGAGGGGGGAGGGGGAGGAGGAGAAGAGTCACCATTCTCCTGCGGCACATCATTCAAACACTTCCGGCATCAGCATGCGATCAGCGTCTGCAACCTTCCTGAGGAAGACGTGATAGCGGTAGGGCTCCTGGTCGAGGATGAGGAGGAGAAAGTGACATCAGGGGTGAGGAAGGAGGAGCGGAGGGGAAAGAGGAGGAAGAAGCGGAGAGGAGAAAGGGGAAAAGGCAAAAGTAAAGATGAGGGAGATGATGAGTAGAATGAGAAGGCATCAAAGCATGAGACCTCAAGAGCAGTCCGGAACACCTTCAAAATAAACAATCAGTTGACAAGGGTGAGTAAATATCAACCTCCATCATCATCCCCTTCTCTATCTTCCCGTTCCCATCTCGATCATTATCATCCACTTCTCTATTATGTTCTCCCTCTCCGCCATCATCATCATCATCATCATCATCATCATCGAGATCATTTTCATCGTCGACCATTTTCTTACATGTCCTTGATGAAAGAATCCAGCTCGGCTCAACGTCCATATCCGTGTATGAAAGCACGTCCTGCCGTTCCCTCCCCTCAGCTTCTCCCTCCCACACTTTCCCTCCTCACCCCTCCGCCTTGGACACGTAGAAGGCAACGAAGGTCAAGTCCGTCGTCCCTTCCTCCCACACTGGATACAGCCGTACTTCTTGTATGTTGTCTGCAAGGAAACAAGCAAGCTCAGCTTCACAGCATTGCCTCGTAGCCGACAACGTGAGATGACCTGAGAAAGGGGCAAACGCGCTCCCATCTAGCTTCCGCTGTAGCAGCTTCACCCATGGCGTCCTGATACCGCCCATGAACTGCCGACCAGGTCAGCCAAGGATGCGGATGACGATGGAGATGGTGGTATTGGTTGTGCAGGGGACGCGGTAGTGACAGATAAGGGCGTTGATGATGCTTCTGCAGATGCTGATGAGTTGATGACGATTGTAATGATGATGATGATGATGATGATGATTGTAATGATGATGATCATGCCATCACGAGTGTGATGGAGATTATGATGTTAACGAAGACGCTGACAGCAATGCTGATGACAAGGGATATCATAATGGCGACAACAACCATCCGTGTACAACAACCGCGAGTGCATTGCTGATAGTCACGATCGAAGCCCAATACAAGCTCTTACCTGAGGTAGACAGAACCTGATATGAACACACAACGTCGGAAAGTCTCCCGAGCTGCCATCGCAGAGGAAATGAGCATCTTGATGGGTAATAACAAGATCATGAAGGCCTCGTTGCAGAGAAGCTGTAGAAGGTACGAGGACCAATCACACAAACAGCTCAAGACAAGGCAGCAAGGCGACAGGCTTACTGAAGCGACTCTCGGCGTTGGTCTTCATCCAGTCACAGACTTGGCTGGAGGACTGTTGGGTTTCGTGAGTTGGGAGTATCCACCCAATAAATCGTTTCCTGCTCGCATGAGAAATCAGGAGAAAAGATCATTTTGGTTTCCGACTTGGCACCATTCACATTGCAGTGAAGGAAAGACACATGGTACAAAATAAACAAAACAAACCACACTACACAAAGAGCTACAATAGACAAACAACCGTAGACCAAAGAACTCATCCAACCCGAACAAACATATCTCATTGAGAAGCGTCGTGAACCTGGCGTGAGCGATGCAAGACATTGCTCGTTCTATGAACCACGGCGTCGCCGTCGACTCCTCCTTGCTGAACTGCACCACCCCTTCATTCCATGACATGTCTACTCTGCTCCAATCAGGGTCTCTGATATCCTCCGTGCTCCCAACCACGTGGAAGACACAGATCCCCTTCGTGACGGTCGTCGGCACATACTTGAAGCTCGCATGCACCACGTTGTGCTTCCTGAACAGCCTCATCTTCACATCCACTCCTGCCAGAGACTGACACGTGCCCTGATGCTGAGCCCCAAGGCCTCCCATCTCCGCTGTTTGCGAGAAGCAGCGAAGTCTGTCTGCACTGGCATAGTCCACATAGTGCAGCAGCACCTGCCCCACCTGCTCCAAGCGTCAAACAAGTACAAAACCTTCCTCATCACATCATATCCAGCCCGTCAATGCAACAACAAGTCATAACACCACGCCCCACGCTCACACTACACCCCAGCATGTACTCATCTCACCATCGTACTAGCAAACATGGATTCCTTGAAGTCCTCCTTTAGCTTCTCGCTCATCCCCTGGATCCTCCACGTCGATAGCTCCACCACCACCATCCTATCCTCCCACGTCGATAGCAGCCCCTCCATCAGCTCCTCCCCTGTCGGTCGCTTCGCCGCGCTCTGCACGTGCAGGATGGCGTCTCTCAGCAGCTGCAGCTGGTTCCTGCGGGAAGGAAGGGCTCCTTTCCTCTTGGACAGCTGGGGGTCGGCAGGGAGGGAGCCCTGGCCGTAGGGCAGGAGGGCATCGAGCTTGTAGACTAGCTGCTTTGTCAGCGCCCGCTCGTCAGCCTTGCACTTCCGCTGCATTTCTCTCCGCGCCTTGACGTCACTGGCCGACATTGTGGGTAGAGGTTGATGTGAGTGGAAGGAATGGGAGTTAGGTTGTGATGAGAGGTGTATGGTAGAGGAAAGGGGGGGAGGGGTCAGGAAGAGGAGGGAAGGAGTGATTTGGAGTGTTTGAGAGGTAGATGAACAAGGTATGAGAGGAGGAAGAGAGGGTTGGACGGTGTCGATGACAGCGAGGTATGAAGAGAGGAGGAAAAATCTGTCTGGGTGCGCGAGGAGGGGAAGGAGGAGGGGTTTAGGAACGAGAGTAGAAGGGGGGTGGTGGGGGACGGGGCAGTGGAAAAATGGGGGAAACCGGATGCAATGGGGGACCCTGGTCATTTGTGGGGTAGTAGATAGTAAAACGTACCGGTACTGAAGTCATTTCACTATAAAACAGGTTCCCATGACGGGGTCCCACCGGTGGGAACGCCCGAAGAGATATTTTATATCCGACTGAATTAATAGCATTTTAATATGGCAACAAACAGTACCACAATATAATTGGTTATATGGATATGAGTGAAGTTTTGTATAATTGTCACATTTTTTTCGAAGGTTTTTGCTTTGTACTGAATGTGATATATCTGGTACTGTTTTAAAACTCATATTTAAGATCAAGAAAGAAGGACAGCGAGGGGCGCATCCAGCATTCTCGTCGCTGCCTCAAACATTTAACTGAATATTTAACTTAATATCCGGGTGAGATGGAGGAATGCAGGAGGGGAGGAAGGGAGGAGGGAAGAAGGAAAGGAATGGAGATGGGAGGAGGAGAACAAGTGAGGATGAACGAAGGAGAGAGATTCGTGGTGAGCTTGTCACCCAGGAAGCGGGAGCAATTGAAGCTCACCACGATTCTCCCTCCTTCGTTCATAATTAGCTCTTCTCCTCCCAGGAAGGGGGAGGAATTGAAGTTGGGGGGGAGGCGGGGAGCAGGAACAAGGGTTGACAGACGAAACGAAGAAAGAAAGAATGATGAACATTGGCATTGAAGAAGTTTTGATTACCAACCATTCTTTGAGGGTTGAAAGGTGGGAAGAGCAGAACAGGGAAGACAGAAGGATAAATGCTAGGAGGGGGAGATAGACAAGAGGGAGAAGAGAGAAGGGGGTAGGGAGAAGTGAGGAGGGAGGAGAGAGACAGTCATTTTATACGAGAGTGTGCAGGCAGAGAAAGGATAAAGAATATTGTCCTGTGACTCTATTGAATGACATCTCATGAAATTCGTTGTATAGGCACCAAAGGTTCAAAAAGATGTCGGCAGCCTGAGCCTTCTTGTTGTTATGCTATGAGAGAAATTAAAGGATGGGAAGTGCAAACAAGGGAGTTGGTTGGGCCGTCTTGATTTTCACAACCGTTATCTTCTTCTACTGGACCTTTTGGGTTCTGGTAACTTGCTTTATTGTTGTCGTCCGACAAGCTCACCCTGCGAACGACAGGTGCTTCCCTTCGTCGACAACGACCATCCGTACGCTCCCTTGCACTGTCTTTCTTACATCTTACTGTGAATGGTTCAGACTGCAGCTTGCCTTTCCTTCCAAGTTCTACGCACTCTCCATCCCTGTCTTCATCATGGTGAGCTGCACCTGTTTGCTGAGGAAGGTTGGAAGAACTCCTCCGACTGAAGAACTTTCGACCATTACAGGTGCTCGGCATGACTACAACAGCCTCTTTCATCGCAGTTATCTTGATTCGAGATGGATAGCGTATGATACAATACTTTTCTTGTGATACAGACATGCTCGTTCCTGGTTCTCTCTGCCTGCAGGATTCTCTTCATGACGCAGCCAGCATGTCTGGTTGGATGTGCATGTGAATGATTGTTTGAGAGGCGCTACCTTGTGTTGACAATCCCAAGACGAGGACATTAGTTGGTATCAGCGTATGTTGCTACAGTCAACTCGGCACTACAGTGTCACATTATTTCCATAATTTGAGTACATCTTGACATTTCTTGTTTTCACATTCTCTCAACTGCGCTGTCTTGGTTTATTTCAGAGCTCAGTAAACATAATCGCTGATGTTTCCTACAATTTCCTTCCTTTCCCACAAGTTTTGAAGCAAGAGTTTACCTCATTTTCAACCACGCACATCCTCCCCTCCCTCCTACCTCCTACCTCTTCCCTTCTTCCTCCCTCTCCTCTCCTCCCTCTCTCTCCTCTCCTCTCCTCTCCTCTCCTCTCCTCCCTCCCCTCTCCTCCCTCTCCTCTCCTCCCTCTCCGCTCCTCTCCCTCTCCTCTCATCCCTCTCCT